CGTGGGCTCCGGGCTCTGCCCGGCCGCGCTCGTCCTCCTGCTCTCCGCCTGTGTAGTGCGGGCGCCCCCGCCAGGTGAGGTGCCGGCGCCGCGGCGGCGGGCTCCAGGGGTTGAGGCGCAGAGAATGGTTTTTTGCGTCACGTGCATTCGCTGGTCTGAAGCACTGTCCTCACTCACTGCGCCCGTCACGGAGAGGTTTATACACGGAGGAACTGAAATTTATTTGGGGAAGCAAGTGACAGGTGAAATTAATAACAATAGGCAGAAGATACAAAGACACCCACGTTCAAGTTATACAGTTAAATTGGTTGCCAATAGCCCTCCGAAATCAGTCCGTGGGACACTGGCCAGCTTTCCGTCTCACTGTGTGAGAGCTGATGTGCTTGTAAATCTGTATTTCGAGAGTAGATAGCGCACTGATTTGGAATTATCGGTTGTCATGGAGCGCCGCCTCTTGGTTTTAGCTCTGAAATTCAGGAAAGGTTAGGATTTGGAAGTTTTCCAATGCCAGTTGTTTCTTTGTATCTAGAGAAACAAAAATGTTTGCTCATCTTGTTTTCAAGCTGTATTTAAAATAGTGAAGAAACAGAGAAGTGAGAGTTTAAACTGTTGCTATTTAATTGGGCTGTGCTCCATTTTTTGGCTTTAAATGTTAGACTCAAAATTAATTGTAAATAACCTCCTAGGATTGAACAAGAAGTACACAAACGATTTGTTCAAAATACTTTTTCTTTTTTTTAATAAGGAGGGTGGGAAAGGAAGCCCTCCTAATGTGTAAATATACAAGTGGATGAGGAAAACAGAAAGAAATAGTGTACTAGAAGATTCCAAGATAGGCACAGTCTAGGCATAAGTAGTCCGAAGATCATTCTAATGTAACTAGAGAATGGCTGATGTGCTTCAGGAGACGGAAGCTTCTAGGCCGGGGGCCATATACTAGATATGATAGTATGTAGGCGTTGTGTGTGCCTTGACTTTTGATCCAATAAGATCAGATCTGAGTATGTAAGAAAAAGAATAAACTTATTAAGCACTGAATAATAAGGGCTGATATTTATATTATAATTAATATTTTATACAGTATTCAGTTACTATAATAACTCTTTAAGTCTGGAATTTAATTCCGTTTTGCAGATGAGAAAACAAGCAGGTAGAGTTTAAAGTGATTTTTCTAAAGTCAGTAGCAGAGTTAGGATTTAAAGTAAGGTCTTCTCAGTTTTAGTACTTTACTCTTTTATTTGTGTTGTACTCTCTCTGATAAAGGTTATTTGGATGTTTGGTTGATTGCGTTTTTTCTGCTGCCCCTCTCTGTGCACATTAACATTTGCTCACTCAACAATGACAGAAAACTGTCATCATAGATCATGTTTTACAATTATTTAATATTTTTTTGTGTGCTGTGCATAGTGCTTGGTATTGTTTTTTAACAAGTTAATGTAAACATGGATTTAATTATAATCTAATTAGGGAAAATTACACATGCATAAAGAACTTGATACAGTATAGAGTGTTAGAGGAGCTATTGTTGTAAGGTAAGAATGATAAGAACAAAGTTTGGAAGAGGTGGACCTTGAAGGGCCAGAGATAGGGTCTTTTAAAAAGAGAGAGTGCTGCCCTCCCTGGTGGCGCAGCAGATTAAAGCACAGCACTAAGAAGCTTAAGCCATTTCTGCATGAGTTCGATCCCCGCCTGCCCCAGAGGAGATCCACATGGCACCGCAGACCTCTCCTGGCCCACCGGCTGCTCCCCTCAGCAGTGTACTTCGTCGATCTGCCTGTTCTGCTCCCCACTCTGTCTCTGGTGAATCCTCTCACCTTCTGCATCTCTGGCCTGTACCTGGGGTATTCTGTGTGAATAAATAAATCTTTAAAAAAAAAAAGAGAGAGAGAGTGTATTCTGGAGGCAAGATATAATAGGCAGAAGCAGGGACTAATTTAATTTAATTGGGGCATATGAGGGAATTAGTTGAGACAGAGATACTTAATGTCAAATGGGATTGATTTATGATTCTCTCCTTCAAACAAAGTTAAATATGCTATAATATTATACTACTTCTAGATCTTGGAATTTCTACTAAGGGAATTTGCTAATCATTTATTTTTGTTTTGACAGTTGGATATTTGGTTCGATTCCCAAGAGCTTTTCACTTGACCCAAGATACAGTGAAAATAGTGGGATCATCAACTTTTCCAGGTATTGATAGATTTAAGAAAGTAATTAATACTTGCCTAAATTTTTATCATTCTTGTGCAGAATGCTACTGTTCCCTACTTATGTTAGTCTCTTGTAAGTCCCGTTTTCCTCTATGAAAATGGATTAAAGATGTTTTCATGTTGTTACATTCATCCAGGTTTAATTTTGTTTGTTATAAATGATTTCGTGTACAAAAATTAATTTCTGAGTTATCAAATTAAAGTCTTTCTCTTGTTATTACATAGTAGCTAGCTATAAAAATAATTGTATGCAGTTCAGACATGTTTAAACTTTTTCCAAATAATATCTGTATAACATCAAGATTAATTAGATTGGATTAATGAGATAGGGTTAGTAAGATTAGATCAGATTGATTAATATATCAATAAGATTTTGCAGTCATATGAAACATAACTGCACATATATTTTATTAAAATAAGTCCATATGCCTTAAAATTTCCCCTCCAAATATATAATCCAGTGTTTTTTAGAATATTGAAAATATTGAAATATTTTAGAATATTGAATATTTTAGAAATCTTATATCAGCACTGTGTGATTTCACAGCACTATCACCATTTCAATAAGAAAATCAGTACCCATTAAGCAATCAGTCTCCCAATTCCTGAAAACCTCTGATCTACGTTTTGTCTCTGTTAACCTGTACATTTAATTTTAGTGGAATCACAAATATGAATTTGTGTCTGACTTCTTTCACATATTTTGAGGTTCACTCCCGTTATAGAATGTATCAGTACTTTGTTTGCTTATAGAATATGTCACTACTTCTTTATATGGTTGAATAATATTCCATTGTATGCATATATACAACATTTTGTATTTTCATCAATTGAAATTCTCATTTTCTTGACTATTATGAAGGAGCCATATTTTTATGAATATTCCCGGATAAATTTCTGTTTTAATTCTTTTAGGTATGTACCTGGGGTAAAATTACTAAACCATGTGCTGAATCAGTAACTTCCAAACTATTATTAAAACAATCTGCAGTATTCTGTTTTCTCATCAGCAGTGTGTAAGGATTAAATCTAATATCTTTGCTAATTATCTTTGCTAATTACCGTTGCTAATTATAGCCATCATGGTATATGTGGAGTAGATACATTGTGGTTTTGATTTGCATTTCCATGATGACTAATGATGTTGCGCTTCTTTTCATATGCTTTGTATCCATATGGATAACTTGCTTGCTAAAATGCCTTGACTAATGATGTTGAGCTTCTTTTCATATGCTTTGTATCCATATGGATAACTTGCTTGCTAAAATGCCTGTTCAAATTCTCTACCCATTTTTAAATTAGCTTGTCTTCTTTTTTTTAAAGATTTGTTTACTTATGCTTACAGAACTGGGTTATAGGTAAAGGTGCAGGGGTGGTGAGAGGATTCACCAGAGACAGAGTGGGGAGCAGAACAGGCAGATTGAAAAAGTACCCTGCTGAGGGGAACAGCTGGCTGGTCAGAAGAGTTCTGCGATGCCATGTGGGTCAGCTCCCTGGCCTGGGGCTGAACTTGTGCTGCAGTGGCTTCAGAGAGCTTCATAATGTTGTTCCACTAGGGGGAGCTCTGTCTTTTCTTTCTTTTTTTTTTTTTTTGAGTTGGTGAAATTTTCCATACACTAAAATCTTTATCAGATATTTGATTTGTGATATTTTTCTTGAATTTTGTGGATTGTGTTTTCAGTGTTTAGTAGTAACCTTAAAATCACACATTTTAAACTTTGATAAAGTCTAGTTTCTACTTTTTTCATGAGTACTCATGATTAGGTGTCATACTAAAAAAAATTGCCTGATAAACAGTAACACATATTTCTTTTTGTCTTCCTTACATGAATTTCATAGTTTTAGCCCTTAAATGTAGATTTTTTTTTTTAAGATTTATTTATTTGTACATACAGAACTGGGGTACAGGCCAGAGGCTCAGGGGCGGTGAGAGGATTCAACAGAGACAGCATGGGTAACAGAACTGCTGAGGGGAGCAGTGGGTGGGTCAGGAGAGGTCTGCCACGCCATGTGGTCACCTCCGGGGAAGGCGGGAATCGAACTCATGTGGAAGCGGCTTTAGATTCTCAGTGCTGTGCTTTAACCCACTGCGCCACCAGGGAGGGCCTTAAGATTTATTTTTATTTATGATTATAAGAACTGAGGGACAATCAGAGGTGTTGGTATTGGAGGGTTAAGAAGATTCACTTGAGATAGAGTAGGGAGCAGAACAGTTAGATCTACTGAAATGCACTGCTAAGGGGAGCAGTTGGGGAGACAGGGAATGTCTGATGAGCCCTGTGGATCACCTCCCTGGCCAGGGATCCAACTCATCCAGCAGTAGCTGCAGATATCTTGATGTCATTAGCTGCAGATATCTTGATGTCATTGACTTTAGCCCCCAATGTAGATCTCTCATCCATTCTGAATTATTTGAATTTATATTGAATTTTATATGGTGTAAGGTAGTGGTAAAACTTAATTCTTTTTCATGAGAATATCCAGTCATTTCAGCACCATTTATGTATTCAAAAAGGTTTTCTTCTCTATTTAATTCTTCGAATACCCTTGTTGAAAATTCATCATTAATTATAAATATACTGGTTTATTGTTTCTGGATTCTAAATTCTATTCCATTGTTCTACATATTTGCCCTAATATATATGTTGTCTTGATTACATAGCTTTATAGTAAGTTTTAAAATGAATCCTTCAAAATTGTTCTTTTTAAACTCGTTTCGGCTATTCTTGGTCCCTTGCAATTTCACATAAATTTTAGAATTAGCTTATCAATTTCCACACAAAAGCCTATTGATATTTTTATAAGGGTTAAATTGAATCTGAAGATCATTTAGAAGTATTACTACCTTAACAATATTAATTCTTCCATTTATAAACATAGAGTAACTTTTCATTTAGTTAGATCCTTTTTTTAGTTACCCTCAATAATGTTTTGTAATTTTCATTGTGCAAGAATTGTACTTTTTTGTTATTCATATATATTTTATTAAAATTCTGAATTTTTTTATGTTATTACAAATGGAGTGGTTTTCTTAATTTTGGTTTGGATTGCATTTTTATATTGGGTAAAAATAAAATTGAATTTTACAGGCTGATTTTGTATCCTGATAGCTGCTGAATAATTTATTTACTCCATGTTTTTGGAGGAGGGGTGATTTATTTCTTAGACTTTTCTAATATTGTGTTATATCATATATAGGATCACCTCACCTCATCTGCAGACAGCTTTATTTCTCCTTTTCCATCCTGATGCCATTTTTTTTTTTTTCTTACCAGTTGCTCTGGTTAGAAGTTCAATTCTGTGTTATTAACAACAGATATTCTTGTCTCCTTCCTTATCTAAACAGTAGGGAAAGATTTTATTTTTCACCTTTATAATTTTAAATATGAACCTTCTATATAGTTGCCCTTTAAATACTGAGAAAGTTCCTTGTGTTCCTAATTTGTGTTATTACTGTAAAAGGATTCTGGATTTCATCAGATGCTTTTTCTAAATATATTAAGATGATCGTGTGTTTTTTTCCTTTATTAACTGATTTTTGTATTTGAACTAGCCTTGCATTCCTTGATATAAATTCCGCTTGGTTGTTATATATTTAGCTGCTAATATTTGAGGATATTCATAAGGAAAATTGGCCTGTAATTTCATTGTGATGTGCTTGTCTTATCATCTGATTTTGATTTTAGTGTAATAGTGCTTTTACAATATTAGCCGGGATGGGTTTTGCCCACTTTTACTTTTTAGAAGAGCTTGTGAGTGACTACTGGTAATTCTATTTTACTTGCTTGGGAAAAAAAAACCACAGTTAAATTCGCCTCACTGGGATTTTCTTTGTGGGAAGTTTTTTGATTGCTAATTTGATAACTATAGTTTACCTATATTTAGGTTTTCTATTTCATTTTATTTTCTGATGAGGAATAAGCTACTTACTTTATTGAACATTATGTTTACATTATGAGTTGTTTTTCCCACTATTTTTATTTATTTATTTATTTATTTATTTATTTTTTTAGGATTTTGACAGTTTGATTGTGATGTCTCAGTGTGAATCTCTTTGAATTTTATCCTGGTAGGACTTCACTTAGTTTCTTGGGTGTGTAGACTTGTATTTTTTTTATTAACCTTGGAAAAATTTTGCCTTTGTTTCTTCATATATTATTTCTTCCCTTTCTGCTCTTCCATGGGTCTTTCTTTGTGAATATACCAGTATGTTTGGTGGTTTTGAAACCAAGCAAAGTCAGAGGAAACAGTAAGCCCTCACTTGCATACTGCACAACATGACTTAAAAGAAAAACGACATAATACATTTATGAGGAGTGTGTAAAGGGGAAGTAGAGAGAGAAAGGGACGGAGAGAGAGCGCTGAGGGAGAGAGAGCGAGCATGTATGTGCAAGAATGAAAACGTGGAGGCTGATCTTAAGCTAGATACAGTCTTTCCTACCCTAGAGTATCAGTGGTTCAGAGGCAGGCATCTAAGCAGGAGTCAGTCAGCCTTTTGAGCAAGTTAGCTGGGACTGGCCATGTGGAAGAAGGCACTGAACACTGAACAGGAATAGAACATTGGGACTGGACATGTGGTAGAGAACAGAAGTTGGTCCACCGATCAGATGCAACTGTATGCTAATGCCCATCAATTCCCTTCCACTGCCAACCTATTTCTCACCCTTTTAAAATCTTCATGAGCATTTTGTTACCCCCCCAGCTCTCAACCTTTGTTGTTCAGGAAGCTAGGAGGAATTGAGCCTGGAGAGCTCCAAAATCTATCTTTAGCATCACCCTCACTGCCTTGGAGTTTATTAGTTCCAGCCACCTTGGGGTAGTAGGGCAGGAGAAGGTGTTCAGACTGGTGGCAGGTCCACCCACTGAACTGATCTGGTGCAGACCAGACTGGCACATCTTGAGAGCACAGGGGCCACTCACTGGCGCCCAATTAACTTCTGGGCACATCATACCAGCTCTCACAGTGTCCTGCCCAGTGCT